AGGGAGTAGAGGGAGTGATGGAATGGTTTTGGGTTGGAAAAGGATCTTAAAGTTGACCTCATTCCACTATCCACGTTGCTCTAAGCCCCATCCAGCCTGGCCTTGAACCTTGGATGCTTGCAGGGATGGGGAATCTGCAAATATCCTGGGAAATTTATCCCTCTGCAGGGAGCAGAGGGAGTGATGTGTTGGGGCAGAGTGAGGTGGGGGATGGATGGGATGGATGCTCCTGTGTCAGAATGCTCTAAAGAAAAGCAAATCTCAGTGCAGATTTTAAGGATTTTCCTGGCAGGAGGAGGAATGTTGGGCTGTCCAGGCTGTTCTCCTGATTTTCCATCAGGGCAGGGGTGGGACGAGGTGATCCTTAAGGTCCCTTTCCAAGCCAAACCTTTCTGGGGTTCTGGGATTTTCCACTGGGGAACAGAGCTGGATGGGAGCAAATGGAGCAGTGGGATCTCCTCTGACTGGGAGCCTCCCTGAGGAGCTCAGGGGGGTTTTTCTCCAAAATTCCCCACCAGTCTTCCACCTGGAGGTTCCTTTTGGCACGGTGGGCCTGTAAAATAAGAATTTAAAGCACTTTCCCTGCTCCAGGCAGGATCTGAGGAAAATTTCCCAAGTGATTCAGGATGAACTTCAGGAGAACAGGAAGAAGTGTTGTCAACCTAGATTGCTCCAGAAAATAATTCCCTTTTATCAGCTGCTGAGCATGGCAAGACATGGTAAAATGCCTTCTCAAACAGAATATTATCCCAAAGGTGATGTCTTGGAAAAATAGCACGAGGGTTTCCTGGAGGAAGAGTGACCAGGGCACAGAGACTGGAATTGCTGCTTCAGCGGTAGCTGGAGGTTCCTCATCCTGCTCTGGGACTGATTTATCTCCATTTTTTTGGGAGCTACGTTTTGGTTTGCAAGACAACTGCTCTGGCTGATGTCCAGGGTGGCCACCAGGAGAATTTGAATTCTTTGCAGCTCCCTTTGGACCATCAGCACCTTGGTGTGCTCTGAGGTGATGTGTGGGTAGGGATATTCCCAAACTTGGGAATAGGCACCTTGCAAGGAATATTTTATCCAGAGCAGTTGGATCTAGTGAGGATCCCACTCAGGGTGAGGGTTTGAGGCCCGAGATGGGAAGAGAAGAGAAAACAGAAGACCTGATTGCGTCAAAATTCATCATTTTGTGCTCACATTTCCTATTTATCCGTGCTGTGACCACATTTTGCAAACACTGGCTGCTCCAGCAGGAATATTTCTGGGGGTTGCTTTGTCCAGGATTCCCACGTGGGTCAGTCTGTCCCCTGGAGCCAGATCTTGGAGGGACACACACAAAGTTGTGTTTGCTTAGAGCAGGTTTGAAATGGGATCCAGAAGCCCCTGGGAGCCGCGGCAGGGTCGGGTTCACATTCCCGGGATTTGCCTTTTCCACAAAACCCCCGCTGTGCCTCCGTTAATGATCTATTAGTGGCCGTGCTGGGACCTTGGCAAACAGGTGCTGAATTTCCCTGCCTGCTGACATCTAGGAATCCTCTCCCTGCTCCTTTGGGGAGCTCACTTTTGGTTTTTTTTAAGTAGCTGCAGCTGTTTGCTCCAAACTTCCTCCTTTTCCCCCTCCTTTTTCTTCTTTTCTTTTTCCTTTTTCTTTTTTCTTTTTTTTTTCTTTTTTCTTTTCCTTTTTCCTCCCCCTCCTTTTTTCCTACTTCTCTTTCCTCTTCCTCCTTCTCTTTCCTCTTCCTCCTCCTTTTTTCCTCCTCCTCCTCCT